AATTGGGCAAGACTGTTGCTGACTTGGGGATTGTAAATTTATTTTCGAGCGTGGGGGTGTGTTTTGTATATCGCACATTAAATTTGAAAATGGAAACCGAGGTGTAGTTTTCTGAAGAGCCTTCTAATTCAGATATTTAAAACGTAGGATTCAAGACATGTTTGGTTGGGAAATGAAATCCTTATTAAGGTTGTACAATGTAATTAAGGGCTTCTCCCGTAAATCACCTCGGAAGTATTTGCGGCAGTTGATCTCCAGGATTTTTCGGGACCGCTTCGACATTTGTTTAGGAGCGGATGAGCGCAGCGCTCCCGGTAGCGCTGCGCCCACACACTTTTTTATTTTTCATTTTTTTTGAAGGGCGACGGCCTTGGTAAGGAAAACTCAGGTGACCGAAGATGACCAATATATTCAATGATTCAGGATTTGGAGGTGGATCAGAAGGAATGGACTTTCTGGTTGCCTCCTCTTTCATCCGCAGTCATGGTGGCCGGAGTGTCTGGCTCGTCCCAACAACTGAGGCCCATGATGTTAACCCTGGCCGGAGTGCCTGGCTCATCCCAACGCCTGAGGCCCATGATGTTAACCGTGGCCGGAGTGCCTGGCTCGTCCCAACGACTGAGGCCCATGATGTGAGGGACACTGAGCCCGGTTCCCAGCTTGTAATGAAAAAAAGTTGTTTGAGAGAATGAAAAAGCAAAAAAAAAAAAGTAATGGACTCGGAAGTTACAAACTGGGACTGGATCAGTAGAACAACATTCAAGGCCTAGTTGCCCTACTGGCCATCCGCCAAGATTGTAAATGCACCCGAACAGATTCCCTGTTCAGATTCATTCAGAATTGTGGTGGAAGGCAAGTAGTTCAACTAGGCCATCAATATGCTCCGATACACCACTAAGATTGTGGTACCCTCCCCTACCCTCTTCACCGGAATACGGTTATTATAGCTGTATCTGGACTGAAAACTGCAGCAAATACGACTATAATGACCGGGCGTTCTATTAGGGTGAAGACGGTAGTAAGCCCACAGCTGGCCGCTCCATCTACCGGTGGGAAGCATCACCTGCTGGAAAACCCGTCCAGCATCCCTTATGTACACGAGGAACAACTCTGAGCTGAGATCACTTGTGCCTTCAACCCCCCTATAGGTCTGCCAAGGTTTCTTTTATTAAAAAAAAGATTGTGGTACCCTGCCGACGGCATGCACGGGGACACATTCCCTGTTCAGATTCATTCAGAAATTTGGTGGATTGCGGGTAATGCCACTACAGGTAGGCCCTCAATACGATTGTGCTACCCTGCTGGCGGCCTTGGCTTTGTTTTTCCTTTCTTGGGGGATTTTGGGTTGTTCCACGTTTCTTGGCTTTGTTCAGAGTTTTTGGCCTAAGGGTCAGATCCCACTACGCTGGATTATTCATTTTTCACCCTCGATTACGAAGATCAACTGTCAGAAATGAACAATAGGGGCAAGTGGGATCTGGCCCTAAGGCTTGTGGATCTCTTTTTGTCCCAGGGTTGCCAGACATCACGGCAGCAGTCTGGTTTTGGCCAACTCTGCAGAAGTCTGGTTTTGGCGAATTCTGCTTCTGGATTGATCTCCTCAGAGTCTCCACCGAAGCAGGGTAATGGTCCCAGTATTTCTTTCCAGGTTGTTTGTAGAGGGGTACCGGGGCTACCTTCTTCCCCGAATACATCGTACGGTCATTATAGCTGAATTTTTCAGGCATCTTTCAGTCTAGAAAGCCGGTATCGCCCACCTGCAGGTCAGGAGCAGCCCCCGCATGTTCTCTCGTGAACACGGTTGTGGCTGCTACGGGGTTCCCCGTATGCCTACAATTAGGAGTAGTGGTAGGTAGGTAAGTAGTGTGAGGTGAAATTGAGAGAAGTACCTTTGCCGCTTGGAAATAGCGGGCCTCCGGTGGGCCGCCGATCAGATTTATCAATGGCAGTCGTCGTCAGGCCCGACCTCCGAAAATTCAGGCGATTGGGAAAACAGCCAGTTTTCCCTATTTTCCCATGCGGGAAAGGTACTGGTCACTAGTACCTTTGCCGCTTGGAAAATAGCAGGCCTCCGGTGGGCCTCAGGAATTGAGAGATGCTGACCGTCCATAGGGGAGATCAACGGCAGAAGTCTCTTAATCCGTAATCCGTGCAAGTGGGACCTTGCCCCCGGACTTCCCCTTTGTGTGGGCCTTGCCACACCACTGTGGAAACAAAAAAGAACGTATGCATCTTTCCGCAGAAGTGGTAGGATGCATCCGCTGCTATTCATAGTAACGATGCATCTTTCCTTTCTTCCAAGGACAATGCACTTTTGCTCTTTTCGTTTCGACAGTGGGGTGGCGAGGCCCATAGAAGTGCTGTTTTCTCGTTAAAAAAACGGGGGGGGGGGGGGAACG